GTTTGGTTTCTGTTTGAATGAGCTGAAGATCTTTTTCGGTCAATGAACTCTTTCAGCAGAGCTCGTGTTTTTATGTGTCGATTCATTCTAGTAATCCTCACAGTGGCGTTCGCTGCCGCTTCACTGGTTGGTGTTGGCTGACAACCACAAGGTCATAATTTAGTTTTGCTGTTCTCTGTAGTTTCCCTGTGTGTTTCCTTATACAACGTTAAGATCGTCCTCTCGCTGCCTTCAGCTCGCTCAGGTGCTTAAAGGTGTACTTTACTTTAGTAGTCTACAGATCTGTTATAGCTCATATATGTATATGTATATATGTGTATGTGTTCTACTGGTAGGAGCTGACACTCAGCAGCAGATAGCTGAGACATTGGATTATGATGTCAACCGGTGGAGGATTTGAACTACTACATACAGTAAAATATACACTATTTACATTTCATCCATGTCGGTGTGCACTCGGCTGAGAGATGATTCAGTCAGTGAATCAAACCGAAGCTCCATCCATCTCTAATTGGACATCATGCTTTGATGAGCTTCAGAGGATCCAACGTGCAGAAGGTCGGTACCACCTGGAACTCTGCGAGGAGACGTTGAATTGTCACAGGCCAACTGAAGATAACGCCACTTTTCCTAAAACTATGTTTATTTTGCATCTGCATGAAGGTACACTTCAGCCTATTAGCGCTTAAATGACATGATACAAATGTCAATCAGCGTGTAGTCCCGCCCTAAAGCGTCCCCTGCTTTACGGTCTGTTTGACTCTACATGGACCTTCATTCACTCAATGAGCATCATGTTGTACTGAAGAAAACTAGAGACTGAGACCATGAACTGGTTTTCTCGTGGTCTTCTATGGGAGAACCCATGTTTACTGAGTGGTTTTCTCGTGGTCTTCTATGGGAGAACCCATGTTTACTGAGTGGTTTTCTCGTGGTCTTCTATGGGAGAACCCATGTTTACTGAGTGGTTTTCTCGTGGTCTTCTATGGGAGAACCCATGTTTACTGAGTGGTTTTCTCGTGGTCTTCTATGGGAGAACCCATGTTTACTGAGTGGTTTTCTCGTGGTCTTCTATGGGAGGTCTTCCGTGGTCTTCTAACGCATGTTTAGCACGTGAAGCTTTGAATCAGGGTCTCAGACAGCATCATGTTTCGTTTTGTTCCCCTGGAGAGATTTGTTGGTCCGTCAGTCAGAAGACGGTGAGGCTGTGAGACAGTTGGGTCAGTGAATCATCTGGTCTTCCTCCTCCTCCTCCTCCTCCTCCTCCTCCTTCATGAACTGGTGTCATCCTGTGTCGTCTCCCGCCATCACTTCCTGTTTGTCAACACGGCTGCTGCACGACTCAACGGAGATTTACATTCTTTACAAATCTTTACAAAAATGTCTTTGGTGTTGAGTTATTTGCGTTTGACAATTATTGAGAGACGTTTCTAACAGACTGCGTCCGGGAACCAGCTGAGACTGAAACATGAGGCTGAACCTTCGCAGGAAAACGGAAGAAAAATGAGGAGGAACGTTTTGTAAGGATCATACGAAGTGTTGATAATAAAAAGTTCTATTTCTCCATTAACCCGTCTGAAGACGGAAAACCCGCCGGCGAGGTGTTTTACTTTTAAACAATGCCAAGAATACCTCAATAATCTGTAGAAAAGCATCCTTCAAACAGCTCGAGCTATTGATCTAAATCTCAAATTTATTTCATTTGTATTACTGAGTAAATGTCACAAACGTCTCTCCGTCATGCTTTAAAAAGTGCCCCCTTTAAACCCCCATCCCCCCCCCCCCACACCCGGAATGACGCACGACAAGGACGTCTTCAAGAGCGCCGTTGCCGTGGGCGACCGAGTGACTCTTTGTGTGTGTGGTGGAGCTGACTGGCTGCAGAGGAGGCTGTGTGTCCCCGACTGCATCCACTGTAACACAAATCATCAGATGGGTGCGTGTGCGTCCTGCCGCCCCCAGCAGGCACGACAGAGAGCGTGTGTGTGTGTGTGTGTGTGTGTGTGTGTGTGTGTGTGTGTGTGTGTGGAGCTCTGGTTTTCCTTCTGCTGCTCTTCACGATGCGTATTCTGTCTCACTTTCCCCTCTGAAACCTCCATCCACAGCATCTGGACACAAACGCGGCGCTCCACGTCTTCTTCTACGGCCGCATAGGTTGGCGGGATGTTGAGAGTGTGGCGTAGACTGCTGTCTGTGCATGAGTCAGCAACACGGGCAAGTGAAGGCTAGCCACACGGGCTAGCTAGCTAGCTAAAGACGCGACAGATTTTTGGGGGGATTCTTGAAAAGCCGCACAATCCCCCGAAGGGTCCCGACACTTACTGAGGTAGTGAGACGCGCGCGAGCAGCGCCGCGGGAGGAGGACGTAGCAGAGACGTATGACGAAGACGTGAGATAGCGAGCAGTGTGGCTCTGCTCTGCAGGCCACAACTCAACTAGGTTTTAAGTTTTAGGGCAACGCGAGAGTGTCAAAGGTTAACTGGTGATGAAATTATTAAACCACTCGGGTGACTTCAGAGGGCAGTTTGGTCTTATTGTGGAGATGAAAATGATTCATCTAAGAATTATAATAATGGACTATAATAAGAGCCTGCTTGTGTGTGTGTGTGTGTGTGTGCGTGTGTGTGTGTGTGTGCGTGTGTGCGTGTGT